GAGAGAAGGAATACAAGTGTCAAATGTCCATCAGGTTTGCCTGTGCTCTCATAAAAGTATAAAATATATACGGTCCTTCTGTTGAGACCTAGAGAAGTTTTTCTTTCATTTATTAGTTTCCTGCAGATTTTCCTTTGTGTTTCAAAGCTTCAGTGATTTAAAATAAATAGGACTGTCATATCTCTAGTTGTTATATATGAGAATTCTTCTCACATGCATAAATGCATATAACCCTCCCATAAGTTATGAAAGGTAGCAGAATAACCTCTCTTCTTCCTCTAAAGTGTGAGTAACTACAGCCCAAAATATGAAGCATCTGACATAATCTAGAGCAGCATCAAAGCTGTTCCCAGTGCACTAGCTGAAAAAGTCCCCAGTGGACACTTTGCTGTGCGGGAATTCCTTAAGCTCTGTTTTTTTCTGGATGATTTTTTTTCTCTGATAAAACTGTGCAAAAGAGCAGATATGGTAGATAAACGGAGAAGTACAGCTCAACTTGCTGTAATGAAATAGCAAAAGCTGAATTGTCTTCCATCAGCAAATACCAGTAAAATAAATACCAGCCATTATTGACAATGGTTTGCACACCTTTTTTTTCAGGCAATCACTGGACATGTTTGAGAAGAATTTTAAGCTGCCTGTCCCTCCACTTTTTCAGGAGTCTACTTGCCTGCTCTAAGCACTGCTCTTCCCTTTCTCCAGAGCCGACATATTCAGCTTTCACTTTCACCTCTTATCTTTTGCTATAGCATTAGCAAGAGTATTAATGCTACTAGCATAATGTAACTGTAAATGACATGGGATTAAGTGCTTTGTAAGTAGCCCTGTGGTCCCAGACCACAGCAGTTACTTAGTGTTGCGGATAAATCCTCTAAAGCCCTAGTTCTTTAGCTTAATTGTTCTGTCTTTTTCTAGCATCCCTGGGCCAGGCTTTGCAGGGTAGGAATCATCACACTTTTCTCTGAAAGACCAAACAGTTTCTTTTGGCCACCCTGTGCATGCTTGTGAGATGAGGACAACAACTCTGGATTTATATGCAGCAGCAGAGGTTATTGGTGCCAGGCAGACTTGAGAGGGTTTGTTTGGTTGTTTATGTGAAAACTGTGGAATTAATTCTTCTCAAGAATAAGGAATTACTATTATCATACATTTTGAAACTTTTTAATAGAGAGATCATTATCTGTGCTGATAACATCCAAGATCCTTCTACCCAGACCTACTTCTTCCGATTCCTCTGGAGTGTTGGACTTCTTCTCTGCACATCCTGCAAGTCTGGTAGGCCTGTCAGAAAACACTCTCCATTTCATGCTTGGTCCAGCCCATCAAGGACTGTGCTTTTTTACAGGGAAAAGTATTGTTGGAGTACCACTGGGTGGTATCTGCTAAGACATGAGTAGGTAGGTTCTGCAGGCTGGCTTAAAGATGGTGGTGTCAGTGTGGCCAAACCCATTCACAATAAACCCCGTGGAACACATATTAATATGCTAACAGTCTTATTTTATAATATTTTATTTAGGGCCATTTTCAAATTATTAAGGGCATAAGTTAAAAGAACATTATGAGTATCGCATATAATGATGGCTATTTTGATTTTCAGACTAGTGCTTTTGAAAACTAACTCTTTTGACTGTGAAAGTTGTGGTTCAGTGATACAACCTGGGTGTTCTACGTGTACTTCCTGTGTTCCTTCAGAGCAAGCAATCTGGTAGCTGCTAGTGCTAAAATGAGCAGAGATCGATACAGCTTACCCATGGCATCACAGTGTTGATTGTTGCAACTCTGTATGGTTTAGGAAGGGTCATCTGCCTTATTTTGATATCTCGAAATGCAATTGCCATGGTTTTTAGTAGAAGAGTAGAGTAGTCTGAATAAGACCATGACATGTTTTGGATGCTACACAAAGTAGTGATGGCACCTAGTGATTCGTCTCTACAGAGCATATATTCTCGACCCCCGAGACCTTGGTAGGAGTATGTGTCAAAGAAGGATACACCCTTTTTCCAGCTAAGCAAGTAATCTGCTACCCAACAATACAGTTCCTTTGCAAGTGATGTAAGCGCCTTAGGAGTGTTGGCTTTCTTAGATATAACTGAAACAATTTCATAAATTTATGTTTGGAATGCAGTGCTGTAATACTTTACAAGGTGAGAGATGTAAAACTCGGAATTTTTCTTTCTCAGTTAACTCAGTGACTGCTCAGTCCCTAAGCAAGTAAAATAACCTCCCAGAGTCAATTTACTCATTAGGTAACAGACTCATCACCAGTATGTATCAATCTGTGGAAGTTCACTGAGCTACATGGACTGACTTTCCTTCTCAGTTTCCAGTATTAACAACTGCTGGGATCAGAAGATTGTACTGCACAGATTCCTGTGCTCTTTCACTGTTGATGCCTCCAACCGGTATCTCTGCTGCTTGTTACTGACAAGGTTTGGCCTGACAAGATAGAGTTTAAATGTCTTTAACTGAAAATGTGTATTGTGGATAACTGACAAATTATTGTATGATTACTGCCAGCTCCTGTATCAAGGGTATATTAGTGTGAAATAGAAAAGGTCAGTTTACAGTTTGAACTCTGGAGCTCAAATCTAGTCAGTCTCTCTCCAGATTTAGATTAATGAAATGAGTGCTGCAGCAAGAGTGAAACATGAGGCACCTCTTGGGTGCACTGTCTCAAAACACTGAAAATTAACCAAGTTCAATTTTCACCTGTTACCCAACCACTGAATCTGCTTATTGATGCATATATGCACATGTTGTGCTTTGACCTTCACTTGTTTGAGCATATCTTACTTCTGGATGGACTGTGGACTGTCTGGTTTTGTTCATTTACCACAATGAATACTTTATTACTCATTACAGTGGGCCTTATCTCCATATCTTCAGGTATAACTCCAATTTTAAGTACTGAGGAACAAAAATACAATCACAAAAGGAAGGACACTGAGGCTCAGGCTAACAAGTAATAATAGATGCCTAGTTCTTTGGGGTTTCAAAAGTTGGGGGGCCTGTTTAATTGCCCCTGTGGCCGTGTGATCAAGTATCTATTCCCTAATATTATAGCCCTTTTTTTCTTTTGGTTGTCACATACAGGGCTCCAGTTTGAGATAATTTTAGCACTCTCTTCCCTGTTTGTTTCTTTTGGAAGCAGGACCACACTGAGGGCCGTATACAAGAGTCTGATGTAACATGGGCCTTCTGTATCAGTGCTTTGTGTCTCCGTGGTTCAGAAAGACAAAATTATGGAGTTAGTTGTTCTCAGCTTATGGGTTTGCTCGAAAACTACGAACCCACTTAAAATGTATAGGTGGCTTTTATGGCTAGGTCCTTAGAGGCTGGAATGCCAGCGGCTGCTCTGAATTCTGCAGTGTCCCCGCTACCCATTCTTCTTAGAATTGTTATCTCTTTTCATATCCATTAAATAACTTGCATTAAAAAAAAAATCCATTTGCTGGTCCCATTGTGCTTGACCTACATGGGAATCCTTGGATTTGTTTATAGAATGAAAGGATATTTCAGTTCCTTTTTAGTGTTTCTTAAGTACAACATGTATTTCAGTTTTTTGGAATGTATTTACATGTATCACAAAGAAGTTTCCTTTGTAAGTTTCTCAGTGCTCTGGATCTTAGTGATAAAAAACAATAATGTCGAAGAGTGGGAAAATGTTCTTTTAAAGTATGTTTTGGCATTTTTGTTTTTCAATTTGCTGAAAAAGAAACATAAAAAAAAAGAGAACACAGTTTTTTAAAGAAGAAAAAACCTGGACATGTAGAGTTGTGTGACTTTATAGGATGTACGTGAGGTTATTTCCATATCCTTTTGACCACCTCAAATTGAAATCACATTGAATTGCATTGACTTGTTATGGGTATCTTCAGATTAGACTGTTATTACAGACCACGTTGTCATATATTTTTGTCTATGTTTATACTATGAATCTGTGCATCATCTTGTCTGTTTTGCATGGGTGGAAAGGAATCAGTCTCAATTTATGTTCAAAGTTGTTTCCATTTGAAGTGGAATAGTGGTATAATAGATGAAACTCCTTTTTTTAATCCCAGTTATTGCTTTCGTACCTATTGACACTTTTCTAATAAATTGTTTTATTTAATACAATTGGTTTGGGGAGTCTTGAGTACTTGGGAATTATAAAAACATGTCATATTTAATTGTATTGCAGTAATGAAGAAGAACCCTGAAGTCTTCTCTCTGTAATCTCTTGGTCAACCTTGTTTTTATTAATTACTGAATTGGTTGTCCGACTAATTGAAATTAATTATTTTACCTCAGTATTTATGCAATTGAAGAATTAGATCAAAAAGAGAAAGTCACATTTCATATTTAGAAGTTCAGTCACTGGGTTTCTATGCAAACAAAAGATGTCGTTACGATACTTTTTCTTGGCTAAGCATAAAGGTCAAAATTAGCAAGTTTTAAAGAAGAATTGCAAAGAATTACAGTA